TGGGTGATCATACACAATGAATATTATTCAGCCATTAAAAAAGATGCAATCCAGGCCGGCGCTGTTGGCTCACGCCTTTAATCCCTTAGGCTCTTACAGGGGTTGCAGATGTGGACCACCTGTGGGATTGGTGTGTGTGTGTGATTGTTTGTGTGGTTCAAAACCAGGCTCTTCGGTGTGTGGACGCATATGAGGAAAGGCCGACATACAGTACGAATTAGAAATACTTAGGACAACTTTTTATCGTCAACCCACTCCTATGCACTGAATTAGGGCAAAATGGAAGTACAAAAGATGGCATTTTGGGGGCAATTCACACCACATTTGTCTGCCTGGAGAAAGGTTGGGTTTTTTCCCCCTTTTTTCTAGCTCTAGAGGACGAGAAGGAATGAGCTTCACAAAAAAAAAAAAAAAAAAAAAAAAAAAAAAAAAAAAAAGAAAATGTGGTATATACACAATGGAATATTATTCAGCCATAAAAAGAATGCAATCCAGTCATTTGCAACAACATGGATGGAACTGCAGGTCATTATGTTAAGTGAAATAAGCCAGGCACAGAAAGACAAATATCATATGTTCTCACTCATATGTGGGAGCTAAAAAATGATGCTCATGAACATAGAGGCTGGGAAGGATGACAGTGGGGGCATGAAAAGAAGTTGATTAATGAGTGGGCACAAATACACAGGAGAAATAAGAGGTAGTGTTCGACAGATCGGAGTATAACTATAGTTAATATTAATCTATTACATATTTCAAAATAGCTAGAAAAGAATAATTCAAATGTGCCACACATAAAGAAAAGATCAATATTTAAGGTGACAGATGTCCCAATTATCTTGATTTGATCTTTACACATTCTATGAATATGTCAAATGATCACGTATGCCCTGAAAATATATTATATATCAATTTTAAAAACCCTCTTAACGGTCGGGCGCGGTGGCTCACGCCTGTAATCCTAGCACTCTGGGAGGCCGAGGCGGGCGGATTGCTCGAGGTTGGGAGTTCGAAACCATCCTGAGCGAGACCCCGTCTCTACTAAAAATAGAAAGAAATTAATTGACCAACTAAAAATATATATACAAAAAATTAGCCGGGCATGGTGG